AGGAGTGCGGCGCGTGTGGCAAGAAAGGGCACCTGAGCAAGGACTGCTGGAGCGCGACGGCCAAAGGCGGGCCGAAGGGCAGCAAAGGCGGCAAGTCCAAGAAGGGCGGCAAGAAGGGGCTCAACGGCATGGAGGTGTCTGAGGAGCACGAGAACCAGCCGGAGCCAGAGGTGGGAGGCCTCGAGCTCTGCGCGGTAGAGAAGATCGACCAGGGCGCTGGGCTGCTCGACGACCTGTTCCAGGCCGCCTTCGAGAGCTTGGACGGCATCTTCGGCTGTGCGGGTAGCCCCGCCCCGGAGCAGCTTGCAGTCAGCGCGGGGCGCCCCGCCGACGTGCCAATGCCTCGCGGAAAGCGTTTGCCGAAAAAGGCCAGAGAGAGGCAGAAGAGGAATCAGCAGTGGGCAGCAGGAGTAGCAGGGGGAAAGGCAGGACAATGCGAGCGTTGCGAGCAGGAGGTGCAGAAGGAGGAGCAGGAGGAGGAACCTCACACGTTAGACTCAGCAGTCAAGGAGGAAAACGCGGAAGCATTAGGACTCTACACGCCGAAGTAGGACCAGGAATATGAAGTGATCGAGGCTGCCGTGGACAGCGGCGCCGGCGTTGCCATCATGCCAGAGGGGATGTGCAGCGACCACCCGGTCGACCCAGACGGGAGCGGCATCGAGCACAATGCGGCAGGAGGCCAAACTGTCACTGACAACGGCCAGAGGAAGTTGCAAGTGTTAACAAAAGAGTGGCAGCAACGTTCCCTAGAGAGCCGGTCGGGCCAATCCGTCGCATGTTGCTTGCTGCCACTGATCTTGTGGATCACGGGAACCGCGTGGTTCTCCAGAAGAACGGCAGCTACGTGGAGCACATCGGCACGAAACAGAGGACCCCCTTGAGCCGGGCCAACGGGATCTTCCTAATGAAGCTGCGGGTAAAGAAACGCAGCGCGCCTAAACAGCAAGGCGTTGAATGTGCAGCGACCCCCGTGGAGATCGACCATATGATCGCGGCGTTCCAGAAGCTGAAGGCCGCCGGGGGCGCGCAGGTGCCCTCGGGGAGCGTTATCGAATCGAAGGTAGCTGAGTCTATGGGTTTCTTTCGGCAGGTCCAACCGTAAGACCGTCGGTAATTGTTTCGCCAACGATAGGGCATTCAGCCCTTAATGCCACTTGTTTTCGTAATGTTTCACACGGTTTACCGTGTGAGGTAATGCCACTAGACGCGGGTAGCACGACCCGTGGCTTGGGCCCTGTGGCCCATGGCACCAGCAGTGGCCCCTGCGAAGGGCCAGCAGCAAGAGGCGCGGGTAGTTCCGCCCTCGAAGAGAGCGCCGGCGGCGGCGCCCAAGGCAACAGAACCGAACCCATGGGCCCACCCAGAGACCCGCCTGAACAGGCCCCTCCGGGACAAGAGGTCCCGGTTGAGTGGTTGGAAGGAGTGTTCTTGGGATGCAGAGACGACGTCCCTGAGTACTTCATCGGAACGAAGGATGGCGTGGGCAGGTCGGCAGATGTCCGCCGACTGCCGCCCGGCACCCGCTACGATGTGGAAGCGCTGTTGGCCGTGGAGGGAACGCCGTTGGATCCAGTCCCAGGGGAAGCATCGCCATCGCTACCGGAATCCTACGCGCTGGCGCAGTGGCATTCCGATCCCCGCCTGCGCGGCCGGTGACAGCCCGCGCGGGCTGTCATCTATGCGGGGCAGGGCTGTTCGCAGCTTCCCCGCGGCCGTTTCCGGGGCAGGGCTGGCGCCTCCTCGGCCCCCTCTCTGGGGCGGGGCTTTCGGGCGCCCCCAGTTCGTCGCAGGGCGCGCGCCTCCCTGTTCTTCCGCGCGGGGGCTGGGCCCGCGCACCTCCGCTTCGTCTTCGGAGGTTCGGCTTGCGCCGCTTCCATTTCTCAGTCCCCGGCCGCGCCGTGGGCGAGGCCGCGCGCCCGACCAGCGCCGAGCAGCGGCCTGGCACCAGCAATGCGATTATGAACATCTTTGATTCGCAGCGCATCTACATCGTCATCGTCATCGTCGTTGTCTTTGCCTTCTTTGTCATCGCCGTCTTCTTCGCCCATCCTTCTCGCCCCCTTCCCTCACCTTGTCCGGGGAGTCTGGGGGCCCCGAGTGCGAGTCCGATTTGCTCACGGGACTCGGCCAGGGCAGTGGCGCGACGGGCCGTGAGCCCACTGTGCAGTGGGAGCTGTCGATGGGGCCTGCTGTTGCCTGCTGCTGCCCGTTCTCTCTCCTGCCTCTCTCGCGCGCCCTCTCCCCCCCCCCCCCCTGTTCCTGCCCCCCCCCCCCCCCATCCCTTGCCTGCCCCTCTCCCTCCTCCAGGGCGGGGGGCGAGAGGTCTCTCCGAGGCGGCGGGTTCGGCGCCCGCGCTTGGCCCCATTGAACGTTCGTGGCCCTTTCATCTTTGATGGCTGCTCGTTCTGGTGTCGCTGGCCAGGGAAGTGCGGATCCAGCGGAAGCGAAATCCTTCCCCCAGACCCCTCGATCCCAAGATTCACCTTCGATGGCCAGTTGCGCCGGGCCTCGGGGAGTTCGTTCCAGGGGCCTGTCATCGCGCATGCGGCCAGCGATGCACGGATGATCTGTGAACCTGGGTTCGGTCTTTGCCGACTCGGGCGGCCATGTCTGGGAGCGCGGATCCATCGGATTGCCCTCCCTGGAGTTCTCGATCCCAAGTTTCATCTTCGATGGGCAAGCGTGCCGGGCCTCGGGGAGTTCGTTCCGGGTGTCTGTCACCGTGCATGCGGCCGGCACTGCACGGAAGATTTGTGAACCAGAGTTCGGTCTTTGCCGGCTCTCGGGCGGTGTTCTGGGAGTGCGGATTCAGCGGTTCGCCCTCCCTGGAGTTCTCGGTCCCAAGTTTCATCTTCGATGGGCAGTCGTGCCGGGCCTCGGGGAGCTCGTTCCAGGTGTCTGTCACCGTGCATGCGGCCGGCAATGCACGGAAGATTTGTGAACCAGAGTTCGGTCTTTGCCGGCTCTCGGGCGGTCACGGTTTCTGGGAGTGCGGATTCCAGCGGTCTGTTCCCGGAGCTCTCGATCCCTAAATGTATCTTCCCATGTTGCCGACGGCCTGGCGTGCGGGCCTCGGTTACTTATCCTTCGGTTCGCTGCAATCCTGGCTCCAGGATTTCGATCCCGGGAGAGGCGATGCGCCCGGCGGCTCCCGCCGATTTCTAGCAGCGCGCAGCTGCGGCGTCGGCGGCGCTCCGTCTCGCGAGACGGTCGAGGGCTGCAAGCTTGCGAACTCCGTCACTTGCTTCCCAGTCGGCGGGCAGCTGGCGCGCGCCAGTCCCCCCTCTGGAGTTTAGCCCCGTCCAGGGCCAGCCGTTCGCGGTGTCCTAGGGGTGTTTGCATCTTGGCGCTCGTGCTGCGCTCGCTGCAGCGGGGTGGAACTCTTTGGAAGAGATCCGGGGTGCTGACCCCGGCGAGTTCGAGCGACGTATTGCTACATCTCCATCGTTGGTCAAGTTGAGGCCTTGGCTGCTGCTGGTCAGAGGTCGCCCCGATGCAGATGTCTTACAAAACCTGGAGTCGGCGATCTCGCTCGCGCAGGTTGCGCCAGACGCCGTGTGCGAGTTTATCGGGGTCGATCCGGGCAGACGCTGGAGGACGTGTTGCAACGCCCCTCCGCGGGAGCAGCTTGACATGCTACGTTCTGCCCAACATGAGGGCTTCGATGTTCATGCCATTATTGACGTACTGATGCTCAAGAAGATCGGGGCTTCTGTGGGCAGCTCGCTTGCTAGATACATGTCGTCCGCAAGGACGGTTCAAACCTTTTGTGAGCTCTTGAACTTACCGTTCCTGCCGACGAATCCAGCGACAGTGTACAAGTTTGCGGTACTCATAACCCATGAAGGGACGCTCAAATCGATTCTGTCAGCTTGGCCAAAATTCCATCATTTGGAAGGGTTCCACTGGCCCGTGGAACATCCCCCGGTGTTAGCGGACATCAGGGCTGGCACGCGGAAGCTGCAGCCGCCAGCAACCCCCAGGCCGCGAATCAGAAAAGATCTGTTGAGGAAACTCTTGGCCCACTGTGCTAACACTGGGAGTTTCTTCCGTGGCATGGGCTACATGCTTGCGGACGCCTTCTTGCTCAGAGTCCCGTCGGAACTCTTAGGACAGTTGAGGTCGTGTCTGCTGAGTGTGGATAGGGGAACCGTGCGTTTCGGCCCCATCAGACGTCAAGGTCAATGTCATGCGCAGTCCACTCTTGAAGCCAAGTGCGTCTGCGCCGCCGACCCTCTGCTATGCGTGCACATGTGGATATCATGGCTGCTCGCAGGCCGCCGTGGCACGAACGCAGAAGTGTACCCGCCTGGGTACTACGCCAAGTTCCTCGCGGGCCTCCGCGAGGACTTGGTGGCCGTAGGCACGCCAGCGGCAGAGGCATCGGGAATTGCTTCCCACGCCTTCCGCCACGGCGCTGCGATGGACATACACGACACAGACGGGTTCGCAGCTGCGTGCGCCCGCGGGGGCTGGCGAAGTGGGGCAGTTACAGCTTACATCCCCCCTGCTGCCATTGAGTCGCGAGTCCTGGCCGAAGCGCTCTGCGCAGCTTCTGATGATGAGGGATCCTAACCTGGTGTTTTCCCGTTTCCCATTGGTTTCCATTGGTGGCACCTTCCTGAGGTGTGCGCCAACGGAAAACAGTAGAAACAGGTGAGGGAGGCAGGGGACAAACTGCTGGTGTCTCTCTGACTCTTCAGTTGGCTCCCTCCTCCCCTCAGCACCCGCGCGCCGCGCAGCACTCGGCTCTGGCGCGGCAAGCTTGCCCGCCCGCCCGGCCCTGAAGTGGTCTTCGGTGATGGCACCTTCCTGAGGTGTGCGCCAACGGAAAGCAGTAGAAACAGGTAAGGGAGGCAGGGGACCAACTCCTCCTCCTCCTCCTCCTCCTCCTCCTCCTCCTCCTCCTCCTCCTCCTCCTCCTCCTCCTCCTCCCCTCCGTTCACTCGTGCCCCTCCTCCCTCACCCTCTGCCTCCACCTGGGGGGCGGGCCGCGC